TGTGGGTCGTTACCCAGCCGTGATCGTGCGTTCTGGGTCGCGAGGGCTGAGTGCACTCGGAGCTGATCCTGCTGCTGCACATTGACTTTTCACCTCGGCAGTCGCAGCATCCACCGCCAGCACGCGATGGAACGGTGACGCGAGTGCGAGACCCCCTAGCAGGCTTCCGCGAAGGCCGCGAGGCACAGGATTTACTATAGCTAGGTGCAGGCAGTTGGAGGGCGGAAAGGACCACCCCTGGAGAACAAAGGAAAGCCGGGCCTTGCACGGGGTCTTGGAAAAGGGGGAGGCGGCCGCGTGAGGTCAGGCCAGGTATCCAGCAAGGGCCCGGCCAACCGTCCTCGTGTGAGGTCTGCACCGACACCCGACACCAGGGTCAGAGTTCCCAGAGCGTCTGGTAGGACGGACGACGGATGCGTGGATGTTACGTCCTGGCGCTGGGACCATCCCTACTCCCCCTTATCTTTTTACGACTCCCTGTCCTGTGTTTGCGGAGGGCAACATTTGTGCTGGAGCTGCGGTTTTGCTGAGAGCAGTGTCGCTGCTGGAGAATGGGTTGGATGCTAGGAAAGTCATGCCCCAGCGGACACCGCAATCCTTTTTTGTTGTTGTTGTTGTTCTTGTTTTTTTTCTGTTGTATTTTAGGGAAGGGCCTACGGGGTGTTCAGGATCTCAATACTAGATCGGACTCGTAATGATCCACCTGCTCACAGCCTCCCAACAGCTGGGATTACAGGCACACGCCACCTTGCCCAGTTTCAATTGCTGTCTCAGCATGCCCTCGGGGCGGGGCCAGGGCATCTAACCCCTCAGTTCCTGGGCGCTTTAATACGCTGAGCTGTTTGGCGGGCCCCCACAAACCTCAATCTCAATTTGTTGCCATTAGTATCTACTCAGATGTCTCCTACGGCTTCCTGCATTTTGTTACAGTCCAAATTTCTTAGCCTTCAACATAAGCATCGTATGTTCACGTGAAGTAAATAAAACCATGGGGGAGGGTTTCCAAACAAAGCCGTCTGGAGTTTTCTTTGGATTGTCTTTAAATTTCCCACACCAGCCCTTGCTCACCCCGCCCCTTGCTGCGCAGTGAAGGGGCCAGGTGATTTCCTGTCCTGGACAGGCAAACGAGACGGGTGTTACAGCAGAGGCAGGGCAGGGAACCACCATGACGAAGTCCCAACTGCTCTTGGGCACAGGTGAGCAGAAAACAAGAGCAAGGTTTAGGAGGACGTGGCATGGACCACAAGCATCCGGGAGACCCATTAGAGGACACCATTAGAGTAGACTCGCAACTTTTCAGCTCTGCCCTTTGATCTGAGACAAGGTTATACAGTCATTTCCCTTTTATTTTAGGTTTTCCCAAGGAGTACCTTTTCCCAAAATACGTTGGTGCAGGAGGCACCAGAGTTCTCTGCACAGTGTGCACATGGGCACAATAAGCCACAACACACCATGGCGGGAACTTGGAGGCCTTCCTGCCTCAATGGTAGGCTTCAGCCTTTCTTTTTGCCCGGGACCCCTTTTTCCAGCGCTACATGTGGAAATCCTGACTGGCCTTACAGAGACTTGAGTTTTACGGGTGAAGCCCCAGACCACACCCACTTTGCTTTTTTGCCCCGTAGTGCAATTTTTCTGGTGCCACATTTTGACTTGGTGATAAGGATTTCTGTGCCTTACAGGTTAGTCTTAAGATTCAAATGCTGAGCATTGCTCACGTGGTAGATAGTAAGTGTCAGACTGAGTCAGAGTCAATGGAACTAATTCAAGCGGAAAAAGCAGCCCTTTAGAACGTAACATTTCTTGGCACCTTTTTTCCAAGCCATTTCTCAAGACATTTAATCCCAACTTTATTTATTTAGTACAGGTTCTCAGCAGCTTGGATTCATAGTGATCCCATTTTCAGCCTCCCCAGAGCTCGGATTACAGTCATGTAATCCCATGGCCACGCCCGGTCTCTGTGGCTGGCTCAGCACACCCAGGTCAGGCCGGTGTGGCATGTGGTGCCAGGATCGAACCCTGGTCCCTGCGCTTGCCTATGCAGGCGCTTAGTCTGCTTGAGCTATCTCACCGGCCCCAGACTATATACGATTTAGAGGCTGGAAATTTAACTCAACTATGTGGTTTGGAGGTGGGACATTCAGGAATTATGAAGATTAGGTAAGGTCACCGAGAGGGTGCCCCCAAGACTGGCTTTGGGAAAGAGGAGAGAGGAAATGCAAATGTCCCTTGCTTTGTGGTACCTTTTCTCAGGCTTCTGTCACAAAGCAGGGCATCACCAGATGTTCCTCAGCCTTGAATGTCCAGATCCGTGACCCAAAATAAAGCTATTTCCTTTAAAGTTACCCAGTCTGTGGAGCTGTGTTATTGGGAACAGAAAATAGACCAAGAAAAACTGGTTATTACTAATAAATAGTATGAGAAATGGTAACAGGGTGAAAGATACTGCTATACGTGAAACGGGGTGGTGGTGACCAGGTCTCAGGACAGGAGCCTAAGGAGCCGTAGTAATCTCAGGTGGAAATGAAGATCCCGGGAGACATTCAAGCAACTATCATCCTTGTCCTGCTGCTGCAGATAGTGTGGGTGCCTCATGTCCAAGCCCCAAGACTGAGGAAGGCGGACAGTAAGAAGTATTAGGCAGAGGAAATTTTGCAATAAAGCATTTGAGTCAGCATGGGTCCTACGGGGCCCTTCAGATACATGAGACTCAAGAACAAAAGCCTAAAAATTTAAAAAACAGAACCCAACTTAGAAAATTGGCAGCCTAGCTAGGAAAAGGTGAGAAGGTGTATCCAGGACCACAGAAGAAAAAGGGAACCTGAACAAGGGGGAAGGGGGCCTGAGGCTGCTCCGCCTGGCCCAGTGTGGGCCCTTCCCAAACAGTCTTACCCTGGCACTGTCTTGGACTCACAGTCCAGGGCAACTCGGGATTCATTTCCTCCTTTATGCTGTGCCGCTGTGGCCCAAGCAGGCAGGTACAGCTCATGCAGGCAACGGGTTGTGACCTCTCCACGGAGCTGGTCCTGCAGGTAGGCAGGGCACTAAGAGTATGGTTCAGGTAGCTCCCCATGAGATTGCCAAGGGAAGCCTGGGAGGCCAGGCACAAGTTTACCACCTGGTAAGAGCCCTGCCCCAGAGGAGCAGCATCCAGTGGAGCTGCCGGAAACATGCAAAACTCTTAGGGGAGGGCTCAGGCAGCCAGCGAAATGAACTTAAAAAACTGGCTATAGCCAGCAACCCCAAGAGGCAGATGGAGCCTACCCCACCCCACCGCACCGCACTGCACGGCAAGCTGGACATAGACTCCAAGACGTGCTGTCTGTGCTGCTGCCTGTTGGCTTGACTTGTACCAATTACTCCTTCTCCCATGTGGAATAGAAATGCATCCTGGAAGCATGTAACTTGCCTTTTTATTTTAGGAGAGCCTGCCTCTAAAAGAGTTTGTCCTGAATCTCAGAGGCAGGAAACTTTGGACTTTTGAATTAACATTTAAATAACTTTTTTTTTTTAAACAGTACTGGGGATGAATCTCGGGACCTTGAGCTTGGCAGGCAGGCGCTTTGGCCGCTGAGCTATCTTCCTGGCACTTTGAATGGCATTTGAATGGAATGATTCTATGTTAAGAAGACATGGGTTCCAGGAGGCCAGCGACAGAAAGCTCCAATTTGTGTGTGGTTTGTCTCCTCCAAAACATGTTGACATCTGACTCCTCCTGGCAGACCCCTGGCCAGAGGGTAGAAGCTGAATCTGCTTTCGGTGCTTGGAGCAAGGCCTTTCAGGCAGTGGTGACAGCAGAGGAGGTCCGCAGAGGGGCATACCCGACTGCACGCTTGCTCCTTGTCTCCTCTCACATCGGTACCCTGCCCCTCAGTGCCCCTCCAGCCACAGTCCACTGCCTGATACAGTGCCTGGGCCTTGGGCCAACAGAACCCCTAGCCAAAATGCACCACTTCTTTTAAGCACCCAGTTTGTAGTATTGTGTCACTGTGTGTTATCAGCGTCAGAAGCTAGCCTGCGCTATGACAGAAGTAAAGGGTGGTAGGAGCACTGTTCTTGTCAAACTTCCAAGAAAGCCTCGGCTAAGAAAAACCTGAGCCCTGGGAAGAATGGTGGTATACCCCGCCTGTGGTCTCGGGGAACCCTGCATCTGCTGAGTCCACAAGTGGCTTGGGGGA